TCATGTCAGTCACCCTTTCCATATTTATAAACATTAATGAGGTCCCCCCTCAGTCTCCTCTTCTCCAAGCTAAAGAGCCCCAGCTCCCTCGGCCTTTCCTCAGAAGGGAGATGCTCCACTCCCTTCATCATCGTTGTGGCCCTGCGCTGGACTCTCTCCAGCAGTTCCTTGTCCTTCTTGAGCTGAGGGGCCCAGAACTGGACACAATATTCCCCATGCGGCTCATGGTCATCCTGTTGCCCACCAGGACCCCCAGGTCCCTTTCCCCTGTGCTGTTCCCCAGCAGTTCAGTCCCCAACTTGTACTGGTACATGGGGTTGTTCTACCCAGATGCAAGAAGAGGGTGCTGCAGCTCCAGTCACACCCGACCACAGAGATCTACCACCAGCTGGAAAAGGCGCAGCAGCTACCCTGGGCACGTGCAGGGTATCAAACTTTATTAGAGATCTCTTCAAAACAGGCTGGAAGGAATGAATGAGACCATCGTCATGGTGCAGTGACGGAGCCACCACTGACCAACCCCCACCTCTCCACCTTATTTATAGATCATGTATCCCACCCGGCCCCCAGACTCTTCCAATTAAAGGATCATTATTTCAGATCACACCAAGTGCTTCTGAACACCAAGATGCACACGTTTTCTGGGAAATCAGATGCAGGGGTTTTGGGGGGTTAGTTCCTCGATCTCTGGAAAGGAGGAAGGAAAAACAAAATCAGGAAAATCGCTTCTTTAAGGTTGCCTTTTTACAGCAGGTACAGATTCGGCAGGTTCCCCCCCAAAGCAAGTCTGAAACCCTCTTGTTCAGCTTGGCAAGACGAAGAGGGATTCTGGTGGTGAAGGAGAGCCAGCCGGGCGAGACCAGTTTGAACAAACTGATTTCGAGGCTTTGTTGTCATTTCCCTTTGGGGCCGGTTTCCAGCGGTTTTCCAATATCCTTCCCACGCAGTTTAAGGCCTGGAATAAGACAAAGGAGACGACCACCATCAGCTGCCATCAGCGCTTGAGCATTCACCCGATAACTTTATTTCCTCGAATTTTTGCTGTAAGGAAGAGAACACCCGAAAAAGAGGGCAGGGGAAGCAGAGTTAGGGAGAATCCTCCTTTAGTTTCTAAGAGCACCAGACTGGTTTCAGACAGAGCTCCAATTCTCGCTTGTGCACCAACCATCTTCCTAGAAAATGGTATCTGAACTGGCCTAGGAGAGTAACACCAGCACTGGTGGCTGCAGGACACTTTCCCAAGTATAATGAGGCCTCCGCGGGTCTCAGGATCTCACTGATTTTGGGGGGGGAAGCATGCAGGGGTGGTCCCCAGGGCATGGCCCTGAGCATGAAGATGAAGAGCAAAGGAGAACGAGAGCTCCGAGTTCTGGTTTCGGCCAGCAAACCCAAGTTGTATCAGAACTCGGCCTAATGCCACTGCACTTGCTGTGACCTACAGTCAGCAACCGCTGCTGACCTGGAAAACGGAGCAGAAACCCAAACATCCCTAAGCACGGAAAACACTCTCCTCATTTGTGAAGTCTCCTTTCTGAACTTACCGATGGCTCTTTCGATCTTGCCCATAACCTGGTTATTGGGGATTGCTCTTCCTGATTCGTAGTCGGCAATAACTTGTGGTTTCTCGTTGATTTTCTAGAAGAAGAGGCGGCGTCTCAAACACTGGCTCCACGCAGAGCAAACAGCACCAACCCCCCAGTACCCACAGGTGAGCAACAGCCTTTAGCTATGCCAGGGTCGGAAGACAAAGTGCTGCTTCCAGGCTTACTCCATTACCACTATCGCCTCCCTCCACTATCTGTGTCACAGCGATGGTGACACCCATCCTGGTCCGACTTCTCCTTCCCTCAGCCTCCCAGGAGCTGTCACACTTTGTACCGCTGTTCCTTAAGACAGCGGTGAGCTTCTGAACGCTGCCTCAGGACCAGATGGTACAAAAAACCTCACTCAGTGCTGAGCTGATGAGAGGAGAGGGAAAAAAAAGCACCTCCTACCAGCTCACTAGCCGCAGCAACGCTCTGTCTCCAAGCAGGTGTTCCAAGGGCTGCACAAACCCCTAAAACATTTCCTGTTGAACTTAAGCTGCCTGGAGATCAGGTATCAGAGGCGTTGCGTTCACCAAACCTCCTGCTCATCATCCCATCCTGCCGCAGCTGCCCACGAGGGGACAGGACACACACCCACCTTCACCTCGAGGTGCCAAACAGAGCAGGAGCAGAGGCCAGTGGGGCCTGGGTGATACTCACTGTGGCCAAGTCCTTCTGCGTCATGCCCTTGCTCTGCCGGCCCTGCTGGATCACTTTGCCCACCTCCAGCGGAACTCTGTCATGGTGCAGCTCTTCTGTTTCTCGGTCGAGCTTGGCCGTGTTCTTTGTAATGAAGTGTTGTTTGTTTTGGCCTGCTGCCCCTGTCATTCAAAGCAAGAACAAAACAAAAAAAAACAAACCCAAGGACAAACAAAACAAGGCTCAGAGCCGCGCCAAGAAGTATCAAAGCACTTTTTCCACGCGTTCAGCTGCCCAGGCTCCCAGGGAGCTTTCCAGATTTCCACATGCCAACATCAGCACTGATCTCCCACAGATACTGCCTGCTGCAGGTCAGAGAACACATTGTCTTAATCCTGTTAACAGCGATGGCCAAACACAGTCACGCTGAGCCCTCCCTCCTCTTTACTTCCCATCTGAACTTCACTCCAGAGAGGCAAGATTGTGCTGTTGCTTCGGGATTTAACACCCAAACTTCACGCCAGACTCACGTGTCTGTGCTACAGCACTGGGAGGTTAATATCTGAACTTGTACCTTGTTTGCTCAGGGAAAAGGCAGCATGAGTAAATGGCTTTTAATCAATTTTCTGATGCCTTTTATAAGTAAACTCTAACCCTACTCAGCTTTGCTAAAAACCTGGGGTTCAAAAACATACCATTTGTTTTGTCTCATTTTAGTTACACTATTTAAGTCATAGTTGGAATCCTTTCTCTCATATTAGTCTCTGAAATTCAGCCTCTTGATAAAGCTCACTAAACCTTGTTCAAGGATCATCTATTTACTTATTTCCAACCATCATAGTCTCATCTCTACAGTGAGAGAACCTGAGAATTTACACTGGACAGGAAACGAGGGATTTTTGAAGAGTAATGCCACAG